TGAGTAGCTGACCAGTAAGCTTTTTTGATGTCATAATAATTTAGATAACTTTTCACAGTCAGCTCTAGAAACATGTTAAATTTGGTCATTTGCTGTCACATTTATTGCAGATTAGTACTCTACTGCTTTCTTGACATTGTAAAATCTAATGAACATATAAGCTAATTAAATATTTTGGAAATAAGAACATCACAGAGCATAAGATTGGAGGCATTATGATTCCATGTTAGCATCCCTTAATTACCTCATGCTTGCATTTTATGAATTCGGTGACAGGAAGAATCAAGAGCTCACAAGTAGATACGTTGGAATTCCTACTAGCTGTATGAGTTTCTACCACTCATTGTCATTTCTGTAGTCTCAGGAACGTTCTGTTCTGCATCTTGTCCCTAAGGTGTCTCAATGATGCAGACTTCTAGCCTTGGGATAGTTCCTCTTTTTTCCTCAGCCTCATTATTGGTAATGTCCATTAAATGCTTCAGACCTCTGTGATAGTATTCCATGCTATAAAAGGACTGCAGTGTTACATTGTTGCTCTCTTTGCTGGTAGTCTGTGATTCTGTCTCTTACTTTGTAGTTCAGTCTGTAGTTATACAATAGAACATGTTACTGCAAGATGTTTTGGCTGAAAAACCGTTCTTATTTATCTGGTATTCTGAGTTAGAAAGCAGTAAAGCTTTTCAGGATCAGACTTTAAAGTTGACCTTCTTTTGCTTCAAGTTACCATGGATTTCATCATTTTGTTTCTTTAATCTTTGTGAAACATTTATTTCCTCACATACTATAGAAACACCTCGTGTTCCTTCTTGGCTGAGTCTGTCCACATGAGCGAGAAAGTCAGCATAACTTTTCTGTTAGGAGTTGGAAACTATTTCCGGTACAGTTTTGGCATCAAAAGAAGATCAGGGAAAACATTCTGTTTTACTTCATGGCCTACCAAGCACTCGTTGTATAGTTACCAGAATACTGTCTGATGAGGACAGCATATTTATTTATTTCCTTAGTGGTTTAGATTCTGTGTGAAACCGTTCTTAAAAAACCCACACGTTTTTGGTGCATACTCATTTGCTCTGTAGCTTTCCTACAGCAACAGGCAGATTATGCTGATGTCTTAGAGGAGACAAGCAGTGGTTGTGCAGTTACTCAGTGAGATCTTTGCCTGCAGTAAAATTTAGCTCTCTAAACTAAACATGACAACAGAATTGCATATATAAACTGTGCATGGGAGTTGAGGCCTATTTGCAGCAAGCAGCATGGTAGCATTCTGCCTGTGACTGGAAATCATTTTAGACTGTCTACCTAGTATTGCCACCGTGTTCAAAGGCATGAGTTGCCTGACCCTTGTGTGTGCAACACTGAAGTTTTGCTCATATCCTTATCTTCAGGCCATGCCCTAGCCTATATCATTTATGAATAAACTCATGTAAACCCATTGAAAGTGTGTCACTTGACAAAATTTACCTTGGGGTTCACAGTGGTATCTGAGCAGAGAGAAAATTAGCTCATATGAACTATAACCTTATTAAAACTTCAGGGCTTGCAGATTAATTCTAAGAGGAAAAAAAAAATGTGCCAAAGCTTTTCCAAACTGAGCTTAAAAGGGTTTGTACAAATAGAGGGAAAGAGAGAAAATTTCTATGTCTCAGGCTAAGGAGAAAAAAAGAGTTACCCTGGCAGCAAAGAACTCTTAAAGCATGCTGGTCTTTATTAACAGGAGCAGAGCCAGTAGAGCAAGGGAAGTAATTAGTCCCCTCTACTCGGCACTTGTTAGACTACATCTAGAACATTGCGCCCGGTTTTGGGCCCTTAATTCAAGAAAGACATCGATAAGCTGGAGGGAGTTCAGTGGAGGGCCATCACGATGATGGAGAGTCTGGAGCACTTGTGCTGTGGGGAGAGGCTGAGCGAGTGGGACTTTTCAGCCCGGATGGCTTTGGGAGGACTTAGCAGCAGCCTGGGGAGGTCGTCAAGAAGATGGAGACAGGTTCTTAACACTGGTGCATGGTGGGAGGATGAGAGACAATGGGTATAAATTGAAAGAAGAAACGCTCAGACTTTTTTTATCATGAGGGCAGTCAGGCACAGGAACAGGTTGCCTAGGGAGAATGCTCTGTCTCCATCCTTCGGGATGTTCAAGACCGAACAGGATAAAGCCCTGAGCAACCTGGGCTGACCTCATGGCTAACCCTGCATTGAGCAGGGTTGGACTAGAAGCCACCTGAGGTCCAACCTGAATTATCCTACAGTCCCCTGATCCTGTAGTGACTGGTCGTTTCTCAGATGAACATATCAACACATGATATGTGTTGATAAGCATTTCTCCTCCATGTGGGAATTTATTGTTCAGCTAGCTGGGCAAGGTGGCTTCTTTGTAGGCTAATATGCCACTAATATAAGGATGCTCAAATAACGGATCACGGTCTGTATGTAGCACGTCACGACAATCTGCAGATCACTCCTGCTATCACCATTTCTAAGGGGACCGACCGTCAGTAGTGAGTAGTGGCCAAATGCCCTGGTGGGTGAAACCATCTCCCAGCCTCCCTCTTTCCCAGAAACAGTTGCAGCCCCTCTCCAACATGTGACCAGGAGCATGTCTTGCTGAGGAGACAAGACCAAGGAGGAGGAATGTGGTGACAGGACGTGGTTAGCTGCTGCAGTTCAGGTGACCCACATCTTCCTTGACCGTGTGTGACAAACCCAAAGGGGAAAAGAATAACTTTCTATTAATGATTTCTTTGACGTCTATGAATGAATAGGGTGAAAGTGCTGTTGTGAGTATTTTCCTAGACAGGATTTAATCAGCAAGGTAGAAAAGTAAATTGGCAGTGCATTTAGGTGCCTCTTCTTTCCTTTCCTACCACTTTCTACATGGTCTTTTCCAACACAGAATTCTAACACAGAATCTTATCTCTAAACTCATTCTAACTCTCTATGCATATAAGGTATTCAGAGAGTTTAAGTAAGTAAGTATTATTAACTGTAATGAGCTGAGAGTTAAGGTTTAGTGCATAACATGAATTGCAAAAAAGGGATGTAAGTATTATGTTCTTTATATGTTGGAAGTAGAAGAAAGCTTCTTATATAATAGAGTGTATTACAGACAGTAGATGGCTTTTTTTCTTCAGATTCATAAGTTTTCCCACTAAGCAAATGAGTATAGTTTAATGATTTTTGCTTGATTGAATCAATCTTTTTTTTATTTTTTTTGGTTTAGTGACTGTTATAATGTTCAGTTATGTTCCATATTGATTATTGTGGATAGGGACCCTCATTGGGATCACTTATTAATTTTACGAGAACAAAAACATTATGAGAACAAACAGATGTTCAAGTGTATGAACATTTTAAATAGTTTAAAAAAGGTAAAGAACCTCTTTGCATTTGATGTGGATAGACAATTTGTGGAGCAGCAGTTTATGCAAATACACGAGTGTGAGATTCCTCCTGTATTTACCTAATGGAATCTAATTGAAAGCTTTCATATGGTTCCTCCTGTTTTCAGTTGATAATTTTGTCTTACAACAGAGTAAACGTTTTTTATCCGTTTTCACTCTTTGCTGAGTACAAAATGAGATTAGCCATCAATGAATCACATAAAATGTCAATAGAAAGAAACTAGCTACTACTAGGCATTAAGAAGGTGGGAGAGTTTGGGAAGAAAAGCTTTTGTGGGAAGACTGGGGCTTTTTCTCTGATACTCTGTACTCTCAGCTGTGCTGGGCAGTCCTATAGTAACGCATGAGTTGTTGCTTCCATTTCCTTCAACAGTTTGCCGCCATGCAAACAGTTAAGATAGCCAAGAGAAATACACCTCATGACATCATTCTCTGGTGGATATATTTAAGTTAGTTAGTTATGCTCAATTTTCTCTCTTTGTTCTCTAATCTGTCTAAACTCTGTTACAGGCTCCACTGATGATCTATGAAGACTAAATAATGTGCAGGCTTGTACATGGTATTTTCTGACTAGGGATACAAAAAAAATTATTGTTTATTTCTCTTAACCAATTTGGAGGAACATTGACCATGGGGAAGAGAATGGAGAACAAGTTTGATCTAGAAATAAATGGTTATTGATGTATTTTTAAACAAGTGAAATATACTGATTTGTCAGGTGAATATAGCATAAACATTGCTGCAGACTTTTAATTGTATATTGGCTAAGAAGTGTAGATCTTTCTCTTTTTCTGACTATAATATGTCTGGTGATTAATTTAGTATCCGTTATGACTGCAAGACATCAACTTTATGCACACTAAGTTCTTTCATCCTCAGGCCAAGAACCGTTTTGCAGGCGTAATGCAAGAATGCCTACAGAGCTGTGTGGGTGTATATAAACACTAACCTGAACATCTTGCAGTGTTCTCAAGTGGGAGGGTAATTTCGCCTCTTCATTGATTTTACTGATGTCTCTTATGAGCAAGTAGTGCCATTTCCCTCAACCTGTGATGAATTACGTGTGCCATACAATGTGGGCTGTTGCTCACCAGAGGATTAAGCAGGAGCAACAAACCTGCTTCAGTTTCCTCAGACCTTTCATGAGTGACAGACACCTGCGTCATCTTGTACAGTCTTAACATTTTGATATATAAAAGCAGCCTCCCAATTCTTCTACAAGAGACTGCCTAGGCTGACAAAAATGCTTACACTGCAACAGGATCACTTGCAAAAAACCACGGCGTTGCTTGTGCTAAAATCTTCAAAAGCAAATAAATTTTGTCTGTAGTCTCAGCACTGTTGCGCTGTCTTAAGTACCTGCAGTAACCATGGTATCTAAAAGTCCGAGTTATTGCAGCAAGTCTTTGCCTGTGCAGTGGTACGTACTGTACTTGGATTTTAATGGAGCCATCTATACAGACTTGATATTTGCCCATAAAACTGCTCAAGATGAATGAAAACAAGCGTGGGCTAAGTGTTTGTGCTTTTCAGTGCTCGCTCTGTTACAGAATCTTACTGGCTTTCTTAATTGCTAATTTATGCAGTTTCTTTGTCTTTTAGAATGTCGGGTAGTGAAATCCACTTCCTATACCAAAATAGCTTCAACTTCACGTAGGAGCACCACCAAGAGCCCAGGCCCATCTCGACGCAGCAAGTCTCCTGCCTCTACCAGCTCAGGTAAAGCAAGCAAGAAATGTTTCTTAATAATAACAGCTAATGTCTTTGGATACAATTGGCAAAGTGCTTAAGATTCTGCATTTCTGGCAAAACATTATATGTATAAAATAGCTGACAGTAAAAATTCACCTGTTTTCTAAATTGCATCTTGAGATGAAATGTCTTCCCAATACAGAAGAATTCTTCAGTGTGTTGTAAATTGTACTTTGGCAGTATCGTGGTTCATTTTCCTTTTTTTTTTTCTTGCATCTTTATTATGCCAATACCTAAAGACTGACAAAAAGAGATAAAACATTTTACTAGGAACTGCATAAACACAGTGTAGAAAGTAGTCCAAGCTGCACGGCATAGGATCTGCATTTGCAAATCATTGCTTCCACAACCGTTTTTTTGTATTTTGATTCTGAAGGAGTTAAGAGTCAGCAATGAGGAAAGGATAGGTTAAAGGCAATGAGGATATTGGGGGAAAGGGGCAGGGCCGAGAAAGGGGATAATTACAGATGTGAATGTGAGGTGTAAATGCAGTTATAGAAGAGATAAGTCAGAGCTGACTTAATAAGCCAGTGGTTCAGGCTGGAGAAGACATAGCAAAAAGCCTTAAAAAGTTCTGATTCTGTCTGAAGGGCCTTGCTTTGGCTGCCTTTGCAGCTGCTCCCACTGAGTAGTCTATGACTAGTCCCTCCCTGCTGCTTTTTCCCAAGAAAAGCAAACAAATAAAAAACGTACATTAGATAATTTTCCAGTAGTGGTGCCCAAAATTATAAATAATACTTGGTAGGGACCATTTCAGTAGACCAGATCCAGCCTTTGCTTATAGGTTCGGATTGTGCAAGAGGCAAATATTAGAGCTGTCTGAGAGCTACTCTCTCTCTTAAGTCTTCAGCCAACAAGGAAGCTAAGATCACATTGGGAACTGTTTTGTATTTGCATCCCGCACCATATGGTCTTTAAAGAGAAGAAAGGTGGTGATCAGAAAGACCCAGGTGCTCCAAGCTGGTTTCAAAGAGGGGAGGTACAGATCAACTGATGCCATATTTTTTACGAGAAGTCTAAATGGAGCAGCAAAGCGTCCTCCTTCAGGGGAGGAGGAGAACAGGGGGGACACAATGAGGGACGGAGGTGTAGGTGTCGGTAGCAGGGCCTCCTACATGTTCTGAGAAGAGCAGAAATGAAAAATCCTGCAAAGAGATAATGGCAAGGACTATTGATTCTGAGGGAGAGGCACAGATCAGTTCTTTCATAAATGTACATTAAGTAGCTTGCTTTGTGGATGGGTAGAACAGAGTTAAATTAAACCTTGGTAAGGGAGGCCCTATTTAGTGTGTAGATGTTACAGACTTTTTTTTTTTAAATAAATATTCATTTGGGGGTACAGTTAATGGACACTGAACTGTGTATATGCATTTCTGTGTGGAATAACTTGCCTGCTGTGCATAAACAAATGTATCTGTCAGGTATGAGACTAGCAGCATTTTTGATATGTTGGCTACATGATACTGTATTGGTTTTGGTTGTGAGATAAATAGTAACATTTTTACTTAAGCCTACAGGAGAAGTGAACATTAGTAAATTCTAATTTCCGGCAATTTAATTTAACTAGGGTCTCAGCAGGATGCCATAACTTGTTTAACCACTGAAAAAGATCAGAATATTATTTTATAGCTTATGAAAAAACAATGCTTTCACCATGCCACAATAATAATTAATATATCATTAAAGTTATAATAAGAGAAGAAACAAGGTAACAGAAATATTAAAAATAAAAATCATTTTGGATGATTCTATGTTAATGACAGATTTACTTATTTTAAAAATATTTTATTCAAAAGCGAAAACTTGGCAGGAAGTGGTCATATCTTAGTTTGTCAAAACTCGGTCCATGACCTGGCCCATCACTGGAACATTGTATTGGGGAAGGTTTCCCTAGAAAGAGACTTTGGAGGAGGCCCTACAGAAAAGTATAGGATGCTGACAGAACACTCTGCTAAAGGGTAGGAGTCTATAGCATGTTACAACTTAAAAAGGGCAAACAATTTAAAATGTTTCTGTAAAAATTATTTTATTGGGGACATGAATTTGATTTGGTTGTTTGTACCTCTTGTGTTCGCTCTCCGCGAACAGCGAAGAAGTTCAGTTGTGTGAATGTTCCAGGAAACCTATTTCTAACCTGAATACGTGAATATTTACATCAATATTCTTGTCATAAAAAGGAGCAATATTGTGTAAGTGGGTACTTGCCCTTAAGCAGAATTGTTTATAGACCACATCAAAAAATATCAATAGATTTTAAAAATATACAACTTGATATTAGACACTATACTGAAAACACAACAGCTAAGTTAGAGGAAATGGTTCAGGCTAAATCAAACATTCAGCTGGAAGCATAGATAATTTTTTGTGCTGTTAATTTGACTCTCGCAAGGTAGACAGAAGTCTACTCCTAATTGAAAACAGTCATTGTTAAAATTGTCTCTTTTGATCCTTTAAATATAAAAAAGGAGTGGAAAGAAAAGGAAAAACTAGCTAGTAAATATTGTTAGACAAAACCCAAAATTCTCCCTTAAAATGCAGATAATAAATAGGTTTCACTATTATGCTCTCCAGCAGGCTTAAGAATACTGCCTATTTATTATAATTATGTACACGTGACAGCAGCAGAGTATAGAAATTACCATCTAGTGCACATACCAACAGATTTTTTTCCCATATTGTTTACATATTAAACATCTTCTTAGTATTAGTCTCCTAAATGACTAGTGCATGACTAGAGGTTATGCTTTTACTGTCACGTTGTTAGTGCTAAGTATATATATGTATTGTCTTTTTCTGTACTTTCAAGCTGCTTTCAGTTCATCTTTAAATTACTGCTAGGAAATTTTCTTTCATTAGGGATAAACATTAAAAATAATAGAGAAGAAGAGTAGATTCTTCGCTCAGAACAGAGGCAATACATATATATTCCAAAAAGCAAGGCGCATCTGTGCAGAGGGCCGACCTCTATTACCATTTTGTAAAGATTTGTGCATCATGACAGAGAGGCAAAAAGTTGAGAAAAGCAGGGATAGAGGGCAGGCTGAAAGCATTACTGGCAGTGTGCCCCTGAGAAAAAGCTAAGTGAGAGCACCTCTTAGGACAAAATGCTATCTGAAGAGGTGTGTGTTGCTAATTAGAAAGTATATGATTCCTCTTGTTTGGCTTCTGCTGCATTTCAAAAAATCTAACCATTCTTTCTACACAAAACGAATGTGCGGACCAGTCATCAGTTCTTGTCTTTATCAAGATAATACACATGGATAACCACATGGGTCAAAAGACACAAACGCTATGACTACATACAAATACTACATTGAAAAAATGTAAAAATTGCAAAATTACTTACTAAAACTGACAGAAATCTAATATGAGGGGATGACCTTGAGTTACCCTTAGTTCTCTCCTGTATGCATCTGTAGTATGGTACAGTCTTTAATGTATTTAGTTAACATTATTTTTCTTCTCATCCAGCACAGCTGATAGAAATTCATAATTTTTATATTTAATTGAAGTACTGTCTTTGGGTCATTTCCCTATCGTTACAGAAATGGATGTGTAAACGAGGCCAGGAAATGTAGACAGACTTCTTTGGTTTAAGCTTTTAAATGCCATCCTGAAGAACTGTTACCCTTCTTTGACCTAGAATTTCTAGTGATGAGTAAACTAAATCAAACTTCAATTTGACACACTCAGCATTTTCAGAAAAGCTAAATCTTCGTAAATGCAGTGAAGTCAGTGGGACCATTGTTCTGAATGGTCTATTCATAGTGGTATGGAATGACGAACTTCCCCAAAATTCATCTCATTATCTTTTCTGGCTGGATTTGTTTTTCTTTAGTATCTGTGTCTCTGTTTCCCATCTGTAAGTTTGGAACAATACCATTTTACCAAAGCTGATATTTTGAAGATCAATTCAGTAAAGTTTAGAAACCACATTTAGAAAAAACCCTGCTAAAGGTCCTCACCCCTAGTGTGGAGAGTATTCTGTTTGCAGTCCTGCCTTATGGTGGTGATCCCCAACTATTCGTGGGAGCAGGCAAAGGATCCTGAGAATCCCTTTTCCTGAGGGAGCCCCAGCCAATGCTCAGGAGAACCATCTCCCCCATTGCCTTGCCGGGTACGCAGATGTTAGGGGTTCTCAGTGGCATTCCCAAGTGTCTGTGATGAGTTTCACCTTTTGGAGGTGCCTGTCTCCCTCCAGTGCTTGCAGAGGCAGCATAATTGCCAGTCTGAAAGTCCCACCTTTAGCTGGTAAAAAACACTACAGGTAAGTGCCATCCTCACTGACCATGGAAGTGTTTTTTAAAAAACTGGAAGGACTCCAAGAGAAGGGATTAGGAATACTCTGCCTCCAAATATCCCACACACTAGCACTGCACAAAGGATGTTGAGACAGGTTCACACGCAGGAGGGTTTTTCAGCAGGGTCTGTGGCTGATGGTATACAGCAGCCTTAACAGAGAAAGTTACTTTTGGGGAAGAGTGAAAACAAAAGAGAGAGAGAAAGAAGAGAAAGGGAAAACTCTCCCCTGTGACCCACCAGAAAGAGATGCAACGGGAAGGCCCCAGAGGAGCATCCTCCCCTGGGTGTCCCGCTGTGCAGCAGGTACCCCCCGGCCCCCCGTACTTTTCCCGTCGTGGCTGTCTAGGTTTCATCAGGCCCCGCTCAGGCTGCCTGCTGGTTGTTCCCGCTGGGGAGGCTGTTAGCGCTGACGGGGGGCATGCGTTGATGGGGGCAGGTGTTGCCTGCTGGTTGGTTGTTAAGCTTTGTGTGGGCCTGGTCCTGGCTCCCCTCCTGGAACCCAAAAGCTACAACCGAGGGGTAGGAAGAGGGTGGCGGGAGGAAGGGCTGATTCTCTCGCCGGTGGCA